GCAACCCTGCCCTCTGTGGGTCGGTGGGCCCTGCCCCCAAGGGAGGGCTTCACTAGCTGTGATAGAACCAACCTTTCCTGGCACGGCAGATCTGAAAAAATTATTTTAGCACTCCCCCACCTAAAACCCATCTGCTCATTTCTGTAACAACAGGCTCCGCTGTTCTTGTCTCTCACTAGCTCCTTCCCGACATTCAGTTTTCAGTTCAGCAAAAATACGACCTCTTGCTGTTGGAACATAAAATCTAATGGCAATCTGTCAATAAAATTAGTACAGTAATAATTTAGGGAATGCTAAGCACATCTATTTCCGATAAAATTATATTATCTCTGCCTCTAGTCTCACTCAATACTTTAGTTGTTTTTTTAAAAAAAATTTGGGCCCAGGAGGCCTAGGTTGCTCTGCCTCAGACTCTGTCACCCTGTGACCTTGGAGATCCCTAAGCAGGATGCCAGAGAACCCCAGAAGCCAGGAAATGGAAACAAATGGGAAGACCAGAACATTGAAAGTCATTTCAATAATTCTGGAAAAAACTTAAGAAGTCCTATGGTAGAAAGACTCTGTGAATGTAGGGAAGGTAGTCCTTGTGGAGAAATATTCGGCCAGATTCCAAATCTGAACCTGAAGAAGAAAATTTCTGCTGATGTAAATTCATGTGAATGCAGTGTGTGTGGACAAGTCTTTGTATGTCCTTCACCCCTTAATAGGCACATCTTACCTCATTCTGGACACAAACTATATGAACGTGCGAAACGTGGGGTGAAGCCATACAAATGTAAACAATGTGAAAAAATCTTCCTTTCTCTCATAAATGTCCAAAGACACATGGTAACACACACTGGTAATAGACCTCATAAATGTAAGAAATGTGGGAGGACATTTAAATTTCTCTATTTACTTCTAAGACACAAAGTAATTTACACTGGAGAAAAACCCTGTGAATGGAAGAAAGGTGGTAAAGCCTTGAGATTTTGCAGTTCTTTTCAAAAACATGGAAGAACGCACAGTGGGGAAAAACCTTATAAATGTCGGAAATGCGGTAAAGCCTCTGGACATTCTGGTCACCTTCACAGCCACAAAGGTGCTCATGCTGAACAGAAACCCTATGAATGTAGGAAATGTGGGAAACGATTCAGTTTCTGTAGTTACTTTGAAAAAAATGTAAAACAGCTCACAATGGTGAAAAATCTTCGATGTGTTTAAGAAATATGGTAAAAGACTCACTCTTTCTAGTTCCATTCAGAAATACAAAAGAAATAATACTGGAGAGAACCCTATAAATGTAAGAAATGTGGCAAAGCCTTCAGTCATTCCTGCTCCGTGTGAAGACATAAAAGAACACATATTGGACAGAAATCCTATGACTGCAGAAAATGTGGTAAAGCCTTCAGTCAACACAGTTCCCTTAAGAAGATATGAAAGAGCTCATACTGGAGAGAAACCCTATGAATGTCAAAAATATGATCAAGGCCGGGTGCGGTGGCTCAAGCCTGTAATCTCAGCACTTTGGGAGGCCGAGATGGGCGGATCACGAGGTCAGGAGATCGAGACCATCCTGGCTAACACGGTGAAACCCCGTCTCTACTAAAAAAAATACAAAAATACAAAAAAACTAGCCGGGCGAGGTGGCGGGCGCCTGTAGTCCCAGCTACTCGGGAGGCTGAGGCAGGAGAACGGCGTAAACCCGGAAGGCGGAGCTTGCAGTGAGCTGAGATCCGGCCACTGCACTCCAGCCTGGGTGACAGAGCGAGACTCCATCTCAAAAAATAAATAAATAAATTTAAAAAAAAAAGTGATCAAGGCTTCAGTTGGTTCAGTTACCTTCAGACACATGAGAGAACTCATACTGGAGAGAAACCTTATGAATATAAAAAATGTGGCCAGGCGCGGTGGCTCACACCTGTAAATCCCAGTGCTTTGGAGGCCGAGGCAGGCAGATCATGAGGTCAGCAGTTCAAGACCAGCCTGGCCAACATGGTGAAACCCCGTCCCTACCAAAAAAAAAAAAAAAAATTAGCCAGGTGTGGTGGCAGGTGCCTGCAATCCCAGCTACTTGGGAGGCTGAGGCAGGAGAATCGCTTGAACCTGGGAGGCGGAGTTTGCAGTGAGCCAAGACCGTGCCATTGCACTCCAGTCTGGGCAACAGAGCAAGCCTCCGTCTCAAAAAAAAAAAAAAAAAAAAAGAAAGAAAAAGTGGTAACACCTTCAGGGATTGGACAGCTCCCTTCAAACACATGAAAAATCTCATACTGGAGAGAAACTCTGTGAGTGTAAAAAATGTGGTCAGGCCTCCAGTTGCTTCAATTACCTTAAAACATGACAATTCACACTGGAGAGAAACCCGCTGACTGTAAGGAATGTGGTCATGTCTTTAGATACTCCAGTTCTCTATATAAACATGACAGAACTCACACCAGAGAGAAACCCGCTGACTGTAAGGAAGGTGGTCAAGTCTTAGATATTCCAGTTCTCTATATAAACATAACAGAACTCACACCAGAGAGAAACCCGCTGACTGTAAGGAAGGTGGTCAAGTCTTAGATATTCCAGTTTTCTATATAAACATAACAGAACTCACACCAGAGAGAAACCCGCTGACTGTAAGGAAGGTGGTCAAGTCTTAGATATTCCAGTTCTCTATATAAACATGACAGAACTCACACCAGAGAGAAACCCTCTGACTGTAAGGAAGGTGGTCATGTCTTTAGATACTCCAGTTCTCTATATAAAAATGATATAGTACAAAATGCAGAAACCTCACAACCGGAGAGAAACCCTCTGACTGTAAGGAAGGTGGTCATGTCTTTAGATACTCCAGTTCTCTATATAAACATGACAGAACTCACACCGGAGAGAAACCCTCTGACTGTGAGAAACGTGGCAAAGCATTTAGGTATTCCAGTCCTGTATGTAAACATGAAAGAACTCATACATTGTAGAAATCCTGAGAATGTAAGGATTTGGGGAAAACATTCAGTTAATTCAGTTATCTTTGAAAACATGAAAGAAATTATACTAGAGGAAAACAGTATAATTTACATAATATGCATAAGAGAAGTGTGATGACGCCTTTATATGTTCCAGTTACCTTTGAACACATTAAAAAGCATATGCAACGTTTCCATTTTCCTTTGAAAATACGAAAAAAAAAACACTACTACTGGAGGAAAAATTCTATGCATGTAAACAATGTGGTAATGTCTTCAGTCTTTCCAGTTCTACTTGAAGATATAAAAGAACTCGTTTCTGAAAAGCCCTGTAAATGTAAAGAATGTGGGGATGCCTTTGCTTCTCTCGGGAACATTCAAAGACATGACGTATGCAAACTGGAGATGGATCTTTAAACACAAGAAGGTATTCTGTATCTAAACCCTAGTAGTTTGCCAATAAGTTTTCATTTTAATAATTATTTCAAAAGTCATCTGAGAACTCCCACTGAAAACAAATCTTATAAATTTAAGGAATTTGGAAAGCCTGATGCAAATTAAATATTCCACAATGCTCAAAACATGCACATGAATGAAATGTTATACAAGTTATAAATAGATTGTGTTTGTCAGTGGCTCTTTTTTTTTTTTTAACATCAATTTCACCTTTCTTTTTTATGAAAAATGTACTGTTTTTTGGCAGGAAGAAGTTTATTTCATTTTCTTTGCTAATAAAAGTATTGGTATCAAATTGCTAAAAACAATTATATCGTGATAGTCTGCTTACACAGCTGTACAAGTAATAATAACAAAACTTGTAAAATCAGCTCAGTGAGAATTATATCCTAGCTCCCCAGTTTATTAAATGTGTTTCCTGACAGTACAGTCACACTGTCAGTCAAATCCCAGCCTGTGCCGAGCCCACAGGTCTGCTCTGCACCCTTGTGGCACGGGGCCAGGTCACTCCCACCAGTGACGCAGGGAAGCTGGCAGGGCAGAATTTTAGGATAAGAGAAATGGATATTTGGGTCATTATTTAAGAAAGTTAGTTCTCAAGCAGCTGTCTCACTGACTACTTGGCCTTTAAGTTCCTTGCTCATTAAAAATGGGCTTTCAAATATGGCAAAAATATTAACCATAGGTGAACGTAGACAAATGGTAGTTGGAAGTTCTCTGTCCTATTCTTGTAATTTTTCTCTAAGTTTTAAATTACTTTAAAATGAAAAGTTTAAAAAAATGTATTCTTGTGCAGTATCTGACCGAGAGTGCAGTATCTGGCCGTGTCCACGGCAGCTCGCCTAGCCTGGCAGGCCGGTGCAGTATCTGACCTAGAGTGCAGTATCTGGCCGTGTCCACGGCAGCTCGCCTAGCCTGGCAGGCCGGTGCAGTATCCGACCGAGAGTGCGGTATCTGGCCGCATCCACGGCAGCTCGCCTAGCCTGGCAGGCCGGTGCAGTATCTGGCCGTGTCCACGGCAGCTCGCCTAGCCTGGCACGCCGGGCGGCTCCACAGAGGCTTCCTAGAACGACTCTCTTACAACACAATATCGCCTAGCCTGGCAGGCCGGTGCAGTATCTGACCTAGAGTGCAGTATCTGGCCGTGTCCACGGCAGCTCGCCTAGCCTGGCAGGCCGGTGCAGTATGTGACCGAGAGTGCAGTATCCGGCCGTGTCCACGGCAGCTCGCCTAGCCTGGCAGGCCGGTGCAGTATCTGACCGAGAGTGCAGTATCCGAGAGTGCAGTATCTGGCCGTGTCCACGGCAGCTCGCCTAGCCTGGCAGGCCGGTGCAGTATCCGACCGAGAGTGCGGTATCTGGCCGCATCCACGGCAGCTCGCCTAGCCTGGCAGGCCGGTGCAGTATCTGGCCGTGTCCACGGCAGCTCGCCTAGCCTGGCACGCCGGGCGGCTCCACAGAGGCTTCCTAGAACGACTCTCTTACAACACAATATGATTCCATCATTTATTTGGATTTTCAACCCTAACAATTGTTTTTAAATGTTATTTTGCACGTAAAGGATTATGACAACTAAATGATTATGTTTTAAAAATAAAATTAATACATCACTACTTACTCTATGAATTATACCAGCTGAATGCAGATGTTTAATACCACAAAGCATCTGGTAAAGAAGGTAGGACATTCTTTCATGATCCAGCTCCATGTGAATAACCTGACATAAGTTAGCATCCATTAACTCCATAACCAGATACCTGAGGAAGAAAAGGTCAGTTATGTATTTGAAAATTATCCAAAGTTCCTTTATGACTAAATTTCATGAAACAGTAACTTACTTCCAATCACTGCACTGGCTAAAGTAAAAAGATAACTTGGTATAATGGAACTTTCTAAAAATTTTCCAAAGAATATATAAATAACACTTAATGTCTTACAAGTTAAAAATTAAACAAACAAAAAAACCTTTAATAGCATAGTAAATAGAATCTCAAACACACACAGTTTCCTACCTCTTACATTTTTGGCTGAAATCCTCCTCCCCAGCCTAAAGACCATGCTGTTACAGGCTCATCAGTCATAACACATGTACCCTCTGGTGGGAGATGCTGATAATGGGGGAGGCTCTGCATATTAGGGGCCGGGGATAGACAGGAACTCTGTACCTCCCGCTCAATTTTGTTGTGACTTTAAACTTCTCTACTATATATATATGTGTTTAAAAGTGATCATACAACAACAACAAAAAGGACACTTGACCACACTCCCCACTCAGCAACTCCCCAACTCTTTGCTCCCTTTGCCAGCAAAACCCCCCAAAGAGGCATCTCATGTGCTAGCTCCAATTCTTCTCCCTTCGTTTTATTTTTTAAATTTTTTTGAGACAGGGTCTCACTCTGTCACCCAGACTGGAGTGCAGTGGCGTGATTTCGGCTCACTGCAACCTCCACCTCCCGGGTTCAGGTCATTCTCATGCCTCGGACTCCCAGAACTGAAAATTAAATACCAAAAAAAAAAAAAAAAAGCCATCATGCCTGGCTAATTTTTGTATTTTTAGTAAAGACGGGGTTTCGCCAGGCTGCCCAGGCTGGTCTCAAACTCCTGACCTCAAGTGATCCACCCACCTCAGGCCTTCCAAAGTGTTGGGATTATAGGCATGAACCCCTGCACCCAGGCTTCTCCCATTTTTTTCTTAATCCCACTTGGATAAGGCTTGTGCAGCCGCCATTCTGCTGAAACTGTCCTCCTCAAGGCCAGTGATGGCTTCCATGCTGCTAAATCCACTGGCCAGTCCTATAATCCTAGCTGGTCCTGCCCTGTCCTGTCTCCAACTTCTTGCTGTCAAAATGCCCAGCAGCTGGTCCTTGACCCCCTTCTCTTCTGTGACAACACTCACTTTCTTTGTGATCTCAGTTATAGGCTGTCAGCTCCCTAAGTCCTACCTTCAATTCAGACGTATCTCCTGAACTCCAGGCTCATTCCTCTGCCTCCCTATTCCCAGTTCCACCTTGATGTCCAACAGGCATCTTAAAGCCACGTCCGAAACTGAACTCCTGATTCTACCCCTAGCCCAGTCTGCCTTCTCACAGCCTTCCTCGTCTCAGTTGAGAGCTCCCTCAACCTTCAGGTGGCTCGGGCCAAAAATCTAGGTGTCATTCTCAGTTCCTCTCTCTCACACCACACATCTGATCTATCAGCTAATACTGTGGCTCTACCTTTAGAACCATTTCAGCATCCAATCTCTTCCCCTCTCACCCTTCCTATTACTCCTCTGGGACAAACGGACCCTCCAAAATGCCTTAACAGAATTGCTGCAATAGCAGTAACTGATGTTCTGCGCCCCCACCCCTCACAGTGGGTCACCAACCCAGAAGCCAGAGCCATGCTTTTAAAGCAGAAGGCAGGCGAGCTCAACGCTCTGCTAAGACTCTTATTCTGACTTGCCTTAGAGCAAAAGACATCCTGACAACGGCCTGGGGGCCCGCAGTGTTCACCCTCTTCTCTTCCCCTGCTCCCTCATCTCTAGCCACACCACCTCTTGACGGTCTTGGAAAACACCAGGCGGGAATCCGCTGCTGTCCTGAGCGTTGTCTGTTCCTTCTATCTCCATTCTACTCGCCCCCAAGCATCTGTAGGACCGACTTCTTGATCTCCTTCAAGGCGTTCTCCACACGTCACCAACTCACGGAGGTCTTTCCCCAGCCACCTTATTTAAAACTGCAGCCTCAAGTCCAACCCTCAGCACTTTTGATCCTCTGACCCAGCTTGACCCTTTGTCCACAGCACTTAGCCCTTTTTTTTTTTTTTTTTTGAGACGGAGTCTTGCTCTGTTGCCCGGGCTGGAGTTCAGTGGCGCGATCACGGCTCACTGCAAGCTCCGCCTCCTGGGTTCATGCCATTCTCCAGCCTCAGCCTCCCGAGTAGCTGGGACTACAGGCGCCCGCCACCACGTCCGGCTAATTTTTTGTGTTTTTAGTAGAGACGGGGTTTCGCCATGTTAGCCAGGATGGTCTCGATCTTCTGACCTTGTGATCCGCCCGCCTTGGCCTCCCAAAGTGCTGGGATTACAGGCGTGAGCCACTGCGCCCGGCCAGCACCTAGCACTTTCTAATGGACTACACGCTTTCCTCACTTATCATGTTACCTGTCTGTCTTCCCTGACAGGCTCCAGGGAAGCCAAGTATGCCAAGTCCCAGAGAGCGCCCAGCACACAGAGGGCAATCAGATACTTGTTAATGACTGAACACACCAATAAATTAAGGATGAAGTTGGGCATTACGCCTCTCAATAGATTAATACTTCATTGCACTGTTAGTAAGATGATTCTTCTTAAGATTCTGGAAGTACAGAATCTTAAATAGAATTAGTGCCTTAATCATTACAAATAATACTCATAAACTCCTGAACCCTAAAATCCTGGCCATGAGGGACTTGAGAAAAACATTTTATAGTTCAGCAAAACACATTAGTGATCCTGGTCTGCTCTGAAGAATTCTTTCTAGTCATCCTTTATCTGTTATGAAGACGAAAACCCATGTGGTACAAATAATTAATATTACCATCAAATTTTCTAAATATTTCTCTGCAACAGAGAAAGTTATCTGTGATGTCACAAAATGTATTGCCACCTACGTTTCCTAAGTATAAAAAGCAGTTGCTGCCTTTTCTAGATGTTCACGCTTTGATGTACAGTGCATTACTGAATAAAAATGATACTTACACATCTTGAAATTCTTCTAGAGTTTTTTGTGGTGTAAACACATTTAACAAACTAATAATCTGAAAAGAGAAAATTAATTGTACTTCAATATGTCAGATGACTCTACTTGATTACAAAAATTAAGTTTAATATCGAAAAGCATTAAAACTGGGGAAAACAATCACAGCAGAACTCAGTACTTATTATTATTACTGCTTTTACCAATTACATGGCATTTGAGAAAAATTAAACATCAATTAAAGGAAAGATGCACTTTTAATCAAATCACTTATGTGTCCCTGGTGACTTAATTATTACAGAATTTAAACACATAATGTCTTTTTGAACATAAAAAAGTAGAAGTTATGGGTAACAAAACACTAAATAAAGCAGTATGTTAACTCTGAAAACTTAAATACTATGCACAAATTTCTAAAAAGTTTTGAAATATGAAGGCTAAGCTCATATTTTTGGGGTGACAAAGTGAAAGGCCTCATAGCATCGTATTTTTACTTAAAGAGGATTAAGAGCTGATCCTGCTGCAGGCCTCCATCCTGGCACTCTGACACTTCTTGGCTTTGTCCCCACCCAAATCTCATCTTGAATTGTAATCCCCATAATCCCCACGTGTCTAGGCAGAAGCCTGGGGGGAGGTGACTGGATCATGGGGGCAGTTTCCCCCATGTTGTTCTTGTGATAGTGAGTGAGTTCTCCTGAGATCTGATGGTTTTATAAGGAGCACTTCCCACTTTGCTTCTTACTTTTCTCTCTCCTGCCGCCTTGTGAAGAAGGTGCCTGCCTCCCTTTCATCTTCCGCCTGATTGTAAGTTTCCTGAGGTCTCCCCAGCCATGTGCAACTGTGAGTTAATTAAACCTTTTCCTTTATAAGTTACACAGTCTCGGGTATTTCTTTACAGCAGTGCGGGAATGAACCAATACACCCCATGGTGTAAACAGCGAGTCCCACAGCTTAGGCACCAAACATATAACCTCAGTCATTCCAGATGACTGAGGGAAAGATGAATTATCCATTATATAGGATTGGGGTGATCGGTTAGCTAAGGACAAAAATAAAACTGCATCCATATTTCAATCTTTATACCAAGATAAACTCAAAATGGAACAAAGATTTAAATCTAAAACATGAAATAAAACATCAGAATATGATAAACATTTATATAATCCTGGTGTAGAAAAATCTTTTCTAAACCTGACAGGAAACCTAAGGGATCTGATTACATTAAAATGAAACAAAAAAACAGGTGATAAAAAATCAGTATGTCAACAACATAGTCAAATGGAAAAAAAGAAGTAAAGGGCAATAGTTTTAATATTAAAAAAAAAAAACCCTCCTTCAAATGCAGAAGAGACCAGCAGTCCAAAAGAAAAATGGATAAAGGCCATAAAAATTAAATTACCAAAACACATAAAAATAAATGACAACCTCACAAATAAAAATATCATTTATCTATCAAATTGGCAAAAGTAGAACAAAAAAAATCAATGGTATGTAGTGCTGGGGGATTCTGAAGTAACAGACATTCTCAGATACTTTTTTTTTTTTTTTTTTTTTGAGATGGAGTTTCACTCTTGTTGCCCAGGCTGGAGTGCAATGGTGTGATCTCGGCTCACTGCAACCTTCGCTTCCTGGGTTCAAGCGATTCTCCTGCCTCAGCCTCCCGATTAGCTGGGATTACAGGCACCCGCCACCATGCCCAGCTAAATTTTGTATTTTTAGTAGAGACAGGGTTTCACCACATTGGCCAAGCTGGTCTTAAACTCCTGACTCAGGTGATCCACCTGCCTTGGCCTCCCAGTGTTGGGATTACAGGCGTGCACCACAGCGCCCAGCTGACACTTTTTTTTTTAAGAGATGGGGTCTTGTTTTATTGCCCTGGTGTGCCTTAAACCCCTGGCTTCAAGCGACCCGCCTGCCTCAGCCCCATAAGTAGCTGGGATTACAGGTGGAAGGGACCATGCCCAGCTTCTCAGATACTCTTAATGAAAATATCAGACTAATAGTCTTCCTTGAGGTCAATTTGTCAGTATATATTAAAGTAGAATATATATAAACTAGAAGTGTGTACTCTGACCCAGCAATGTTGGCCAAGAACTTCACCTGGACAAGTGTGCAAAAATTCAGGCGTAAGAATGTTCATTGCAACACTGCTTATAACAGTGAGAAACAAAACAATCTATCCAACAACGGGTAGTTGGCAGTCTCTTAAATTACTGTGCATCTGCGCTATTCAGTCATTTAAAAACTGGCTTATATCTATGTTAATTAAAGTACATGAGGTCAACCCACATTGCGTGAGGAGAAAAGCAGGATGAAGAATAACACGATTAATCTTGTTTATGTACTTGTGTACATGTATGTATCAGAATGCTCACCAAATTGTTAATGCTAGTACTCTGTGGGTGGTGGTAGTTAGGAGTTTTTACTTTTTTATATTGTTTGAATTTTTAAAAATAATATATATTTTTTGTAACCTGAAAATTTTTTTTTAAATAAACAAGTAAAATAAAGCACGCATTAGAGAAATTAAAACCAACTCAAGCCACAGACTCAAAAGAAGGAAGCTCAGGAGTTTAAGACTAGCCTAGGCAATGCGGTAAGACCCCAACTCTACAAAAAATTTTAAAAATTGTCAAGCATGGTGACACACGCCTATAGTCCCAGCTACTTGGGGGGCTGAGGTGGGAGAATCACAGCCTTGGTGACAGAATGAGATCCTGTCTAAAAAAACAAAACAAAACAAATAAAAAAACTCCTTCCAGATTTAACATTTTATTTTTATTTATTTATTTATTTATTTATTTATTTATTTAGAGATGGAGTCTCGCTCTGTCGCCCAAGCTGGAGTGCAGTGGTGCGATCTCTGCTCACTGCAAGCTCCTCCTCCCGGGTTCACACCATTCTCCACCTCAGCCTCCCAAGTAGCTGGGACTACAGGCACCCATCACCACGCCTGGCTAATTTTTTGTATTTTTAGTAGAGACGGGGTTCCACCGTGTTAGCCAGGATGGTCTTGATCTCCTGATTGTGGTGATCCACCCACTTTGTCCTCCCAAAGTGCTGGGATTACAGGCGTGAGCCACCGCGCCCTGCCAACATTTTATAATTTTATAACTTGGCAAGGTTATCAACGTAATGCTCAGTAGCAACCACTAGGAGAACATACAATGTGCCTGATTGAGCACAACTTCATTTTCTAGAAACATTATTTCTCCATAAAATTTAGTGCTTTGATTTCTGTGGCGCTTCCAAGAATAGCTACTCTAAATGTGACATCATCTAATAAGTGTATTTGAAACTGAGATGTCATATACAAGGTAAAAAATTACTTATAGAACATCTTTCCACAAAATATTTAGTTGTTTCTCAATTTGTTGGATCAATACTGTTACTATTTTACAGAAACAGTATCAACTGATATTCCTACTTTGGTTGAGTGACCTAAATTCCTATGCACCATATGATGCCTCTTTTCAGCTTTAATTTCCTCAATGTTTATTAAGAATTTTATCAATAAAAAATAGGCTGGGCACAGTGGCTCACACCTATAATCCCAGCACTTTGGGAGGCCAAGGCAGGTGGATCAAGAGGCCAGGAGATCGAGACCATCCTGGCTAACACGGTGAAACTCCGTCTGTACTGAAAATACAAAAAATTAAACCGGGCGTGGTGGCGGCGCCTGTAGTCCCAGCTACTTGGGAGGCTGAGGCAGGAGAATGGGGTGAACCCGGGAGGCGGAGCTTGCAGTGAGCAGAGATCACGCCACTGACCTCCAGCCTGGGTGACGCAGCGAGACCCCATCTCAAAAAATAAATAAATAAATAAATAGAATAAAATAACAATGTTAATAGTCACTTTTATCCTTAGCTTATCCTAGATCTGAACTCAATGTATCTCCAGAAGACCCTGAAGATTCTCACATTATTGACAATATGGAAGCACACAGACAAAATACATACATAACTTACATTTTTATGATTGACACATTTTAAGAGGACGAGTTCACGATAAGCTCTCTTTGCATGAGTTTGGTTCTGAAAAGGACGGCTTAGTTTCTTGACTGCAACATTTATCCCAAGAACTGTATCAAATGCAGCACTAGAATTAGCAAATATAATGCACAATCCATTAGAATCGTTTTGGAAAATATAGCAATGCCAGAATATACATTGAATATATTATGTTTTTAATAAGTAACAAGGAAAAATCTGCTCATTTCCATTCAAGGTACCGCACATATGAAGAGCACAGTGAGTTGGCTAAGACTATAGCATGGACTAACTCCTTTGCAAAGACACATTTCAGCGAGAGTTAAGATGGAGTTCGGCAATCCTTCACATACCGTTTTCACAGTTTAGATTACATTCAAAACCAGATAATTTAACATAGAGTGCATAAAACCAGTCAAGAAATGAAATCTTCAGTTTAAACATGACAAGAAGTTGGAAACAAAGTCACTGTTATCCCATCTTAAAATGTGTATATTTTGGAATATCACAGTAGAGGAAATGGTTGAGTTGATGAGAAGAATACAATAAATCTAAAGTTTGAGTCATTGTGTTTTTTTCTTAGACAACAGTATCTAATAAGAAAAGAAGCCAAAATTTCAGCTCATGGTAAATGCCCAAGATACAAAATCTCTAACGTAAGCAACTGCTATATAAAGTTCTTTTAGAAATATCTCCTCCTACTACTATGGTAAGAATAAAATTTAGAGGCTGTGTTTCCAGATCTCAAGTTTCCTGTTGAAATTCTGTTCATTTTCCCCCAGAAAATAGATATGAAAAATCAAGTAGCCTGATGGCACATTTTTAGGTTTCTAACTGGTACTAAATAGTACCATTTGTGTTATGACCTCTGGGCTACCCATCAGGGCTAACAGTTACTAAAGGCCACCTGAGAACCTAAGCACTGATTTAAATATTGCTTCTATTTCTTTATTCTATTGAGTTTATAACATTGTTTACATTTATTCTCTTCTACTAATGCTTTTTGCCAAACAACTCGAACTTAATTCAACGTTTTAAAGTTAAAGGCTGTCTGCTGTAGCATTTGGTTAAGAAGCTACCTTACTTTAATTCAGTTCATATTATGTGTCTGTCTACATACATATGTAAATCCACAGGCTCATACGCAAATTGCACCACTTATATGAATTATAAAATGATGAGGATACATCCATGTGTGAAACAAGTCATTAACATACATGTAGCCATCAAAAGTATTTATACTTATATACTTCTCAGACTCAAGAATTTGAAAACAGGCCAGATGTGGTGGCTCATATCTGTATTCCCAGCACTTTGGGAGGCCAAGGCAGGCAGATCGCTTGAGCCCAGGAGTTTGAGACCATCCCGGGCAATATAGTGAAACCTTGTCTATACAAAAAATACAAAGATTAGCTGAGTGTGGTGGCGCCATGTCTGTAGTCCCAGTTACTCAGGGGACTGAGATGGGGGGATTGCTAGAGCCGGGGGTCGAGACTGCAGTGAGCACTCATCCCTCCACTGCACCCCAGCTTAGGTGACAGACTGAGACCCTGTTGCCCAGGGTCTCAAAGAAAAAAAAAGAATTTGAAAACAGACACACTTTTTTGTTATCAAAAGTTTTTGTCCAAAATTTCAGTTAGGAAGAATAAGGTCAGGAGGTCTACTGTGAGATACGGTTACTGTAGTTAATAACAATGTATTGTATTCTTGAAAATTGCTAAGAGCAGATTTTTTAAGTGTTCTTGTCAGAAATTTTAAAGAAGTATGTGAGGTAATGCATATGTTAATTCACTCAATTTAGCTAGTCCATAAAGTACACATATTTCAGAACAATATGCTGGACACGATAAATATATACAATTTTTATTTGTCATTTAAAAAATGTGTTTAGCTGACACAAGCCAAATGGACCAGGTCTAAGCATCTGAGTGGGCCTAAGCTTCCCCACTGGTAGCTCCAGCTCCACGAGGAACTCCCTTCAATTATTCCTGGTTCTGGTTACTGTGGTCACTCAGAGAATAGATTTTTATCACTCTCTCTTCATTTATCCGCTTTAGAAACGATCTACCTACTCCCCACTATGAAAACTGAGTAGTTAACCACTTCCCTGAAATCCCCAACACCTCCTATTTTTTCTCTTCTGCTTTTCGGGTTTTCCCTGGTTACGTCTTTAAGTAACATTCCTAGTCTTCGTGCCTCTTCAACTTCGAAGGGAACGTCCTGACTTCTGCGTATGTAAAATGAGACGACTCCCTCCCTTTCTCCTCCATTTATCATATATTTATAACTGTGTCTTCTGTATTTCTTCCTTAGGATGTGTCTAGAAGTTGAAAATCAATACATGGAGTGTAGGTGTGTGTACACATGTAAACGTCACGAACGGCCAGAGCCGGGACTGCATTTCAGTTTCTGAAGATCACATGGCTCTTGCTGCCACTCATAAGACGGTGAGACTGTTTCCGGGATCGAGAAAGGATTCTCTTTTCTTATATTTCATCAACTGCTCAAACATCATGTCCTTTTTATTTGTTTTATAATTAGGCCATGATTTTTTCTAATTTTTCTCACACATTTCTAATAAATAATAATTAGATGATTTTATTATATTACTAGATTATTATTAGATTAGTTTTTACTAATACAAAATGCCAGTTTTAGCCTATCACTAGTACTTCCTAACTTCTTACACTATCTGCTGTTTGGCATCTACTCCACATTCTTTGCAGACACTCTTCTTGGAGCTTCCTTAAGGCCTGCCACACAGCCACCATCCTGGGATTTCTTTTTAGTCCCCACTTGCATTACGCTCTTGGGTTGCCTCTCTTGCTGGAGTACATCCTCAAGGAATTTTTTCCTCAGAAAAGGTGCACGGAAGATAGATGGTACTGCTCTGCCCTCACCCTTGACTGATTGTACGTTTTCTGAGTTTAAAATCAATTTTCTGTGAGAACTTTGAAGGCGGTGTCCCACTGATTTCCGCACTGAGTGCTACGGTGAGAAGGCTATGCCTGTTACTGTACTGATTCCTGTGCTGCTTTTTCTGTTTCCCAGCTCAATGATTTGTCAGTCATGTTCTCTCTGTATCCCAAAAGCCTCTCTCAAAATTATCCCAACTAATTACTGTCCCTCCTGTCCACCAGTGATAACTGCTTCTGACATGTACAATAATCACTTTCTTGCTTTTACCAGCGAAAACATGCACCCTGGAGCGCCCAGTTTATTTCTGCCTGTTTTTTGAAATCTTCTGTGTCTGACCTATTTGGCTCAATATTACAAGACTCATCCATTGTTGCTGTATGTAGCTATAACTCATTCCATCATTGCTGTAAGATTCCTTTGTATAACGATATCACATTACACTGAGGTATTTCAGTTGTTTTTAGTCTTCAATCAATTACAAAACACACGGTCATCAATGTTCCCGTCCACAGCTCTGGGTCCCCTATGCATGTGTTTCTGATGAGTAGACAACTAACCGTGGGAACGTGTCCGTTGTATTTCAGTAGATAATGTCAGACTCTTTGCCAAGGCGGTTCTACACATTTGTAGAGCTGCCAGCAGTGCATGAGGGGTCACGTCTGAGAGCTGCCTCGGGTGGTTCCACAACCTTACCAGCACCTGGTATCACCAACAGCTTAGTTTCTAACCATTCTGCGAGTGTGGAATGGTATTTCATCGCGGCTTTAAATTGCACTGTCCTGATGCATAATAACATTGAACACTTTTTCCTGTTCACAGGTTATCTGGGTATCCTCCTGTGACAATCTGCTGACTATTTGTCTGTCTATCTTTATAATTGTCTTCACTGTTGTTCTTTACATATTCTGAACGAGAGTTTTTTTCAGTCATATATCTTCTCACATGTATGCTTATCCTTTCAGTTTCTTGATCTCAGTTTTCTTAAACATTTCTTAATTTTAATACAAATTTAATCAATCTTCTATGATAAATTGTTTGTTTGTTTTTTGAGATAGAGTCTTGCTCTGTCGCCCAGGCTGCGGTGGAGTGGCGCGATCTCAGCTCACTGCAAGCTCTGCCTGCTAGGTTCAAACAATTCTCCTGCCTCAGCCTCCCAAATAGCTAGAACTACAGGCGTGCACCACCACGCCCGGCTAACTTTTATATTTTTAGTAGAGACAGGGTTTCACCATGCTGGTCTCAAACTCCTGACCTCATGATCTACCCGCCTCGGCCTCCCAAAGTGCTGGGATTACAGGTATGAGCCACCATGCCTGGCCTGATATTTTTTTTTTTTAAAATAGAGATGGGGGTTTCATTATGCTGGCCAGGCTGGTCTTGAACTCCTGGCCTCAAGTAGTCCTCTCACCTTGGCCTCCCAAAGTGCTGGGATTACAGGCGTGAGCCAGCACATCCAGGAAACAAACGTTTTTATGTTGTGTTTAAAGGAGCCCTTCCCTGCTCCAAAGACCATGAAGAAATCCTCCTATATGACCTTCAAATAGCTTCACTGGTTTGCCTTAGACATTTACAGCAATTCAACTGAGGTTGATTTTTGTATATAATATGAGGTTGGGGTCAAATTTCACTTTTTTCCATATGAATATTCCTATGTCCACTTATGTAAAAGACCATCCTTTCCTCATTGCTCTACAAGGCCACCACTGCCATAAGTCAGAAGCCCACACAGGCATGATTCTGTTTCAAGGTTAGTCCACTGTTTCTCCTCGCACCACACAACACCGTCTTGAGCACCAGTTTTCTAGTAAGTCCTCACATCTGGCAGAGGGAGTGCTCCTCCCTTCTTCTTAATGGGTGTCTTGACCATTCTAGGGTTTTTATTTTTACATATAAATTTTAAAATCAGTTTGTTCATTTCTTTGTTTTTTTAAGACTATTGAGATTTGACTGCAATCACTCTAGACAAGTCTGAAAATTGACCTTTATGCTATTAAATATTCTAACTCATGAAAATCAGATTTCCCACCACTATTTCAGTTTTACTTCTTCTAATTTTTTTAGCTTTTTGTAAACAAGTCTTTCATATTGTTAGACTTTTCCCCCAGATACGATAATTTAAAAGTTTTTATCCTATTTTAAATGGTATCCTTTTCAAATTCTCATTTTCTATATACTGCTAGTATATAAATA